TAAAATAGTAGTTTTTGCCAGTAGTCGGCACCATTTTCCAATGCTCGGCATGCTGATTTAAAAAACCTACTTTATTTAGAGTTGGCCAAAAAGCTCAAATAAAAACAACTGCCGACACAAAAATATTTTTTTATTTGTGTAGTTTTTGGATAATTTTTTAATTGTTTTCTCAAGTTTTGGTGAAATGGGTCAAAAATTATATTTTCTAGTAATCGGCATCCCCTGCCGACTACTGGCAAATCTCTTTTTTTTTCTGTTCCTAATGTCGGCATTAAATATTATAACAGATAAATGCTTGATTTGTAAATTTTTTAAGTTATAAAATGATCGTTAGACTGTTATTTACTTTAATAAAATATTTCTGATTCAAAAAGTAATAAATTTAATTTACTTAAATCGAATATTAAGTTGACACCACAACTATTTTTATACCCTACAACACTATGTGTTGGGGGTATTATAAGTTTGATTGGGCCAGAGTTTATGTAACACCTCGAAATATTGGTTTCCCATATAGGAAAGTATATATGGATCTTCCTAGCTCGCCGAGCTGAGTCGATCTAGCTATGTATGTCCGTCCGTCCGTCTGTCCGTCTGTCCATTTTAATTTGTAATCACGCTACAGATCGCAATTATGGCTCGATCCATACGAAATTTTGCACGAAGGTGGGGTTAGGTTCAGAATAGAAGCCTATTTCTTTTGGAGATGATCGCCAAATGTTTAGGGGTTGAAATGGACCAAATACTGAAAAAATGTCGGATTTTACAGTAGGTATACAGGTCGCAATTATAGACCAATCGACGCGGAATTTCACATGTAGCTAGAGTTTAGGGCGGGGAAGAAGCCTACCAATTTGGGTGGTCATCGGATAATATTTGGTCATCGGGTAAAATAGACCATATCTTTTGTTTTGAAAAAATTCAAAATTTTTCATTTAAACGTGAATTTTTTAAATCCCAGCGAAATCACAAAGTCATGACAAGGTTACTTCTGACCTTTACATTGATGTTAACATCCAACAAATCGGATATATAGCAAAATATATGCGATATATATGTCTATCAAAGAAGATATGCTTGAAAGGTCTCATATATGTCGAGAACGGCTGAACTGATTTCGACAGTTCTCATTAATTCAGAATGGCCTCTTGGCAGAAAAACGTCTAAAAATCGCATAAAAATATCTCTCTAAAGATGAAAATATTGGTTTTGTAACATTTGAATTAAACATTTGGTAATATTTCTACAGCTATCAAAAGTAAGTAGTTAGGATATCAGGATATCATATACAGATCGCATTTATGGCCCGATCCTTTCGAAATTTTGCATGGGGATAATATGAGGGTCAGAATAGATGCCTACTCTTTTTGGAGATGATCGCTATATATTTATGGGTTGAAATGGTCCAAAAAACTGCAAAATTGTCAGCAGGTCGTAATTATCGCCCGATCCTCATGCACATTTGAATGGGGGTCACCGCACATTGCAAAAGCCAAGCAGTTTCTGATGGCCATCCAAAAATATTCAATGTGTGAAATAGTTTGCCAACTTTTGTAGACTAAATACGAAAATGTCCATTCCAGCGACTTTTTGGAGAATTCACAAATACAGAAAAGACGCACTTCTGACTATTTCGTTAACGCTGATTTCGTTAAAGAATATAGTCAAATGTCTGTATCTCATATAGATGCGTTTCAGTCAAAAACCAATAATAAATGTTAATCTTTTGCCACTTCTGAGAGATTATAGGTTCCAGATCTAAGAAGACCATTTACGTGCAACATCTACCAATAAATTGGAAATGAGCAAATTCGTTTAAATTGCTATTATTCGAAAATTAGAGAACGAAACATGATGGTTTTCTTTTATTATTTGTCATAATATCTTGTGGAGTTGGAGTATCTCGCCTATATAAACTGTATGGTTTATTATAGTGTTGTAGGGTACTCAACGATCGGCCCCGCTCAACTGTAGCCTTTGCTTACTTGTTTTCTTTACAAACAAGAACTATCGCTAACTATCGTTGGAAGACATTCACTGACGAAAACCGTTATTCTCTCTTAATAAATGATCGGAGGTCATTGTTTTTTTTTATACCCCACAACACTATGTGTTGGGGGTATTATAAGTTTGATTGGGCCAGAATTTATGTAACACCTCGAAATATTGGTTTCCCATATAGGAAAGTATATATGGATCTTCCTAGCTCGCCGTGCTGAGTCGATCTAGCTATGTATGTCCGTCCGTCCGTCTGTCCGTCTGTCCATGTTAATTTGTAATCACTCTACAGGTCGCAATTATGACCCGATCTTCACGAAATTTAGAATGGAGGTGGGGCTTAGGTCAGAATAGAACCCTATTTCTTTTGGAGATAATCGCATAGTATTTATGGGTTGAAATGGACCAAATACTGAAAAAATGTCGGATTTTGCAGTAGCTATACAGGTCGCAATTATAGACCAATCGACGCGGAATTTCGCATGTAGCTAGAGTTTAGTTTAGCAGGGAAGAGCCTACCAATTTGGGTGGTCATCGGATAATATTTAGCGGGTAAAATAGACCATATATTTTGTGTTGAAAAAATTCAAAATTTTTCATTAAACCGCGAATATTTTAAATACCGGCGAAATCACAAAGCCATGGCATGGTTACTTCTGATCTTTACATTGATGTTAACATCCAACAAATCGGATACATAGCAAAATATGTCCGATATATATGTCTATCAAAGAAGATATGCTTGAAAGATCTCCTATATGTCGAGAACGGCTGAACTGATTTCGACAGTTCCCATTAATTCAGAATGGCCTCTTGGCAGGAAAGAAAAAACGTCTAAAAAAATCGCATAAAAATATCTATCTATAGATGAAAATATTGATTTTGTAACATTTTCTCATATTTTTTCAATTTTGTCATATTTTTGGCATATTTTCATTTCGAATTAAACATTTGGTAATATTTCTACAGCTAACAAAACTAAGTAGTTAGGATTTCAGTATATCATATACAGATCGCATTTATGGCCCGATCCTTACGAAATTTCGCATGGGGATAAGATGAGGGTCAGAATTGTAGCCTAATCTTTTTGGAGATGATCGGGGTTGAACTGGACCAAAAAACGGCAAAATTGTCAGCAGGTCGTAATTATCGCCCGATCCTCACGCACATTTGAATGGGGGTTACCGGACATTGCAAAAGCCAAGCAGTTTTGGATGGCCATCCAAAAATATTCATTGTGTGAAATAATTTGTCAACTTTTGTAGATAAAATACGAAAATTTCCATTCCAGTGATTTTTTGGAGAATTCACAAATACAGGAAAGACGCACTTCTGACTATTTCGTTATCGCTGATTTCGTTGAAGAATATAGTCAAATGGCTGTATCTCATATAGATGCGTTTCAGTCAAAAACCAATAAAAAATGTTAATCTTTTGCCACTTCTGAGAGATTATAGGTCTTTGGGAAATATTGGTTCCAGATCTAGGAAGACCATTTAAATTAGTTTAAGTTGCTATTATTCGAAAATTAGAGAACGGAACCTGATGGTTTTCTTTTATTATTTGTCACATTGTCTTGTGGAATTCTTTCGAGTATCTCGCCAATATCAAATGTATCGTTTATTATAGTGTTGTAGGGTATTCAACGGTCGGCACCGCTCGACTGTAGCCTTTGCTTACTTGTTTTGTATTGTACAGAAAGAGATCAGAGAACACTGTTGACGTTTTTTTGCAATTATTTCATTATTAGGTCAATTCTATTCTTAGTTATTTAAGTTTAAATTTCAAAACTGCCGACTACTGGGACATGCTGACCTTAGGCGCACTTACCTATTATCAGATAGTCATCCAAAATGGTAGACATCTGCCCTGTCCTAAGCCCTAACACCATGCAAAATTCCTTGTCGATTGATTTTTGATTGTGACCTGTCAACAAGTAACTGCAAAATCAGAAAAATTTTAATATACATCTTTAAAAACAACAGGATTCAATTCTAAACCTTACCCTACTCCCATTCAAAATTGCGTAAGGATAATTGAAGTGAAGATAATTGTAACCTGAATATAATCATTCTAACACATTGTGTTGTAAAGTGAAACAAGTAAAAAAGCTGTAAGTTCGGCCGGATCGAACTTTGAATACCTTCCACCATTTGGTACAAATTTTGCATTTTTCAAAAAAAAAAAAAAAAAAAAATAAATAAATAAATAAAATCCGTTAAAAATTATGTTGAAATCTTAAAAATATTGAATGTAGCCGTAAATTAGGGTCTATACGACGACGTGGGCCTACATATGCAACTTTTGTCATAAGCTATTACAGTATTCAAATGCAAAACTTGAAAAAAAGTTCTGTTTATAAAGTAGCTAAAATCATCAAAATACCGAATATAGGGAGGTACCATGGGGCTTATAAAACGTGGACCTCTCAGACAATTTTCTGCCATAGGTTGTAGTATTACGAACGTATCCATTACGAACTGCATGTCAGAAATACAGTAAATTAGAAGAAGAGAAGGAAGCAACTTTGACAGTTTTATCAGCAGATTGCAGTTTTCTGCCTGATGTAAAAAAATGTTCAAAGGTTTCAGACAAAAAAACTTGTAATATTGGTTTTGTTTTCTCGTGAATTTTGTAAAAAATCAGGATTTTACTGAATATTGTTCAAAAACGTGAAGTAGAAAATTCTCTCAGTTCAAGCTACTGACTTATTTTCAACTAAGAAGTTATCGTGTGCACCTACCCTCCATCTTGTGGTGGATATTGAACAAATGTCTTAAATATTTCCAATAGATTTTGCTGTAATCGATAATATGCACTCCTAGAATGTATGACCGGCAAGAATCCACATTATGTTAATGAAATTAAATATATACATATATATTTTAATGATTTAACAACTACACATAATTGTTTCAACTATTGTTGTTTGCATTCATCAAATCAATACGAATTTAGAACAGAATAAATGTCTGAAACGTCTACCATTTATTCACGTTGCATTCTGCATGTGTACGTATCCACCTATTCATTTATGTATGTACATATGAATGTTTTTCTATTTCAGTTCACTGTATATTATTCTGTTTGTGCTTTTGGCTTTGTGTTGGCCTCTCTATTGGTTGTATTTACTTAGAAGTAGCTGACTTGATATCTATTTACATTACCGGAAGCTCGTCCTTATTGGAAAGCAATATGTTCACTCTCAAATTGTTAACATCTCGCAGAGCATCCCGACGCCAGCCAGCAAAGGATGTACTTTCCAATGGGCATTTGTCGGGCCCCATTGCTTCGTAGTGTGCGACTGCTTTTGTAGTTGATTTGTGTGGAAGACGATGAAAACAGGACACATCGGTGCGGGTTCGATTGACTTACTTCTTGCTTACTTTGTAATTTCAAAATATTGTCTCTTCATGCTTACAGTCCACACTCCACTGCTCCATTAACTAAAACAACAGTCCCGTTCAGTTCGTAAGAATTTTAGATAGGTTTGTTCGTCGTGTCCGCACCACTCCATTATCAATTCAATCGACATTTTATTGCTATGCATGGTTTTCACAATCTCGCCGTCTTTTACAATGGCTCTGATGTTTTGCTTTTGGTAGTCGGGGTGGAGCTGGTCTCCGCTGAGGCTGTAGATGATGTCTTCGCCCCAGATGTGTTCGTGTTACTGTTGGTGCTGCTGCTGGCGGTGGTGGTATACTCGGAGCTGTTGTTTTCGTTTGGTTGTTCTAGGTCGTTCTGTCATTCGTAATAGAATTGTGAATTCACTGCCATTCCGGTCGAGAGGGTACGGGGTGGGATGCCATCGTACGTTGATATTGAGCCAGAGACCATAGCTTGTTGGAGGACATGCGGAGGTGAGGCGGTGGCCGCAGCTGCAGGCGTTGTTTGTTTCATTCGTCTCAGTGTGGCTGTCGCTGGCGTTAGAACACTACCACTGGTTGTTTGCATTGACAATGGAGGCTGCTGTTGTTGTTGTTGCTGATACTGATGTCCTAGGTATGTTGGTTCGCCACCTGCTAACGACGTTGGTGGTGTCGCAATGTTGGCTGGTCTCTGCAGCACATTGTCGCTGTTCAGGATATAACCCGAACGGAATGTTGGGGCAGTTGTATACTGTGCCAGTGAAGTTATGGGAACCACGGTGCCTGTAAGAGAAACAAAAGAACAAACAAAAATAATTAAAAGAAAATGTGTTGATTACACAAATACAGTGCAGAGGCATAAATAGTGCGAACAAAAAAGTGAAACCGCTGACTCCTGAAAAGCATTCAAGGGTAAACTATAGAACAACAATGGACTAGCGCCATATTTTACAGCTGGGAACCGTTAAACGGGAGTTATTAACTTAATTGTTTTGAAATCAAATGTGGCGGGTGGGGAGTGCGCCCCTAAAGCGACCATTATGCCGTCGTTTAGCAGCAGAAGTGTAAACACAAGGAATATGGCTTGGATGGATGTGGTTGCTGTAGGGCGTATTGTGTGAACGTGTTCAATCGAGGGAAATGTGTTATTCGCCACTACTACAATATTCTTTAAGCTCTGTATTCTTTATTCGAACTAGAAAATATAAACGATGCGAAAAGGGTTTAGCTATTGATTGGCTAAAGTTAAGGCCTTTAAAAGCAATAAACTAATTGGAATGGATTTCTTTTGAAAAAAAAAATCTGTTGGATAAACTAACCCTTCCATGATTTATATCTAAGATCTGATGAGGTGTGCAGTTTAAATTTGCAGCAGTTTTAATTATAAATGAAATTAAGTAAAAATGTTATATTCAATTTTAGAAGTTGTACACAAAGAACGGCTGGAAAACTCACACCAAGTCAGAAGGATCTCTCACTAACCTTGATTTTTTATTAAAATAGTGTGCAAAATCAAATGAGGACACAGTATGAAGTTAGTTGAGACTTTAATCTGAAATTGTGTTCTTTCCTAAATTGTGGCAAGAATTGAGTTCAACACCTAGACCTACAATAAGAATATGAATTTTAGTCTCTTTAGTTGAAAGAAGTCATTAAGACATTCAAAGTAACTATAACAGCCGGTACAGTCATATGATGCTTATATCGAATCGTAAACCTACATCCTTTGTACCACGAGAGCCCAATTCTCGACAATATCAAATAGGACTCATTTGGTCGAAGAATTTTACCAGATAACATTGTTTATAATCTATACCCAAACGTTTACCAATATATAATACCATTTACCCCAGGAATAATATAAAGGTCTGTGTTAAGTTTCAAAGACAAATCATAAATATATCGCCGTCTAAGTAATATAATCGATGTGGAGTTTAATTCCTATCAGGAAAACATACTAAAATGTATAAAAACTAATTCAAATTTCTAAATAACAGCCCATTGGAAAATGTTTTTATGTACCTTACAATACTAATAAATGAGTTCTTACACAAGGACTTTGTTCAGTCAAAAAAGGCTTAAAATTGCTTAAATTCTAACAAAGCTGAAGTGGAGCAAGATTTTATCATTACAAACAAAGTGTTAAAAGTCCCCATAAATTATATGAGTGCAAAAATGTTATTCGGGGTCAAAAAAGCCAAGTTTTCTAAACATGTTGTCTCATCATAAAAGTCGGATTATTTTGTATATATCGCGTGAAATCAATATAATAGCCAACAAAAATAATAACTTAATGTTTTTCGTTCCATTAAATTCTGTTAGACTTGTCAGAACAATAGATAAAATATATCTGTATGGAAAGCAGATTAAATATGAGCGATATTATAAATATGAGCATATTATGTATTGTGTGACTTGCGATTTCTTAGGAATATCAACTGTTTAGTTGCTATGAAAATTTTAAGAGCTACAACTTTTGTTCAAACAAAGTTTTCGAGATAATTAAGCTGTAAATGGCTTTTATGGGAATTTTGGATAATTTGTTAGTAATGGTAAAATTTAGCTTCATACCACAATTCAGCTTGCGGGAGATTTTGTAAAATTTCAGGTCTTTTTTATATCTTTTTTGACTAAGTGTTATCAACAGATATTATATTATTTTGATAGATGTGCTATGCCTACAATGTTTCTAAGTATCAAACTGAAGGGATTGTAGCTGAAAAATATGGCCAAACTGAAGGTTATCAAACTCGGTACTTAGAGGTCGTAATGGATTCTACATTCTCTGTCAGAATATTGTCAATATCCGTTACCTAGAGTTTTAGTTTAGATCAATTTCCTTAGGCAGTAGTTTGCCGGAATTGGGAATTGTTTTCTTATATATCCCATATGACCACATATTTCTACAAAATTGTTTGAAATTTTGTATTTGGAATTCGAAATATACAAAAAAAAAAAACTTCTATAGCAGAAAATTGCCTATGTAGTTTCTCGTTTTGGTGCTGTATCCATATAACATTACAGACCATGCTATGGTAATATGCAATCTCTAATTGATTTCACCAGAAAGCTCCTTCCAACGAAATCATTGAGAGTTCTTAAAATTGACATCTTTAATTTCAATTTTTAAGAAATTAAGTGATGCATATTTCAAACAGAAATATAGAAAATCGTATTCAAACAGTAATAGTAAAGAGTAACATGTATAAATTTTCTTTTTTATACCCTCCACGATACTATGGAGGGTATATTCATTTTGTCATTCTGTTTGTAACTCATTGAAAAAATGATATTCTTGATCAGCGTCTGTGCAAGCGTCTGTGCCAGTCCACGTCTTTGTATGGCCCCCATATAAAGGTACCTATATTCGGTATTTTGATGATTTTAGCGTCATTATTCACCGTAGTAGTTTCAAATTACGTATTTAGAGTTCGTAATGGGAACTATAGTCTGTGACAGAAAATTGCCTATGCAGGTCCACATTTGGCTGCATTATTCACCGTTTATTTCAATTTTCGAATTTGAATATGGTAATGGCTTGTGACAAACAATGCCTATGTAGGTGCACGTCGTACAGGCCCTAATATAACTGCTATATTCCGTATTTTTAAAATGTTAACAGAATTTTTGGCTAATGTTATCTTTTTCGAAAATTTTCAAATGGTGGATATTCAAAGTTCGGCCCGGCCGAACTAACTGCTTTTTTATTTGTTTTTCGCTAGAATTTCTCACACATTTAAATTTATTCAAAACACAACAAAAATACCTTCTTGAGATTGTAAAACAAAATTTTGGCAAAACAAATTAGGAAATATGAATAAATTATTGAGTTCAAATGTAAATGAATCTTTTTTTTAAAAATAAAATACAGTATTTTCTTGGAAGTTAGTTCATTAGACAAACAAAAACGAGTAATTAATTAATCCATGATTTGCAAAACAAAAAAATCTAATTTAATGAAAAATAAAATATGAGAATTTAATTAATTTCAGTGATTTTCTGGAATAAATTGAAACATTCCACAGAAATAATTAAAATAGCATGCAGAATAGTGTGTTTTTCAATTTACTCGAAACTCATTTGTGATTCATTTCAAGGTGTGTATTTTAAAGAACATTATGGTATTCAAGCTAAATTCTTGCTGAAGAAAAACAAGTTTAAAAGCAGTTAGTTCGGCCGGGCCAAACTTTTCAACGAATTTAGAAATTTTCAAAAAATAAAAACTGTAAAAAATTCTGTTAAAATCTTAAAAATACCGAATATAGCTCTTATATTTGGGTTTATACGACGTGGGCCTTCATTGTTGTCATAAGCCATTACCATATTCAAATTCGAAACGTGAAATAAACGGTGAATAATGCAGCTGAAATCTTCAAAATACCGTACATACTTGCATAGACAATTTTCTGTTACAGTCTGGAGCATGCATTACGAACTTCAAATACGACATCTCAAACAATTTCGGTGATTGGGAGTTACCGTTATATGGGGGCTATACGAAGACGTGGACCTGCACAGAGAATTTTCTGTCTTAGGCTGTAGTATTCCTTTGGAACTTCAAATACCAAATTTTAAACAATTCCGGTGAATAATATCGTTAAAATCATCAAAATACCGAATATCAGGAGGTACCTTATATGGGAGCTATATGAAAACGTGGACCTACATGGCCATTTACGAACTTAACCTGTCTACTGGCAAAATAAATATGTCTGCGAAATTTTAGCCTTCTATCTCGATTCGTTCGAAAGATAGCGTGATTACAACAGACAGATGGACAGACAGACAAACAGAAGGACATCGCTAATTCGAAATAGAATTTTATTATATAATTTTACGCTAATCAGGAATATATATACTTTTTTGGGTCTTACATGAGTATTTCGAGGAGTTACAAACGGAATGACAAAGTTAATATACCCTCCATAGTATGGTGGAGGGTATAAAAAACGGATAGCGTCCAAACCAAAGCAACCTATTACGATACCAACGCCTGTAGAAGGGCATTTGTATAGGCTCATGTTTTGGTAAGATGCCCATACAACAGTCCCATCCACTTTATAACATTTTTACGACTTTAACAAGTTTCTCCAAACCATGTCCAACGGAACTTGTTTGATATTATAGTCGCTCTACCGAATTGTAATTTGTTTGCTTGTTACAATTTTGGACGACAATATTTATATATTGCGGACTGATTGACCTAGCCACTCTCAGTCACCTTTGGTGTGTAGAGGTGTTATACGGCACAATTTCAGAAAATGCGGGACAGCAGAGAACAGAACAAAAAGAAAACTGATGCATGATACTCAGGAAATTGTAAAAATAGAATCTGACATCTGAATTGTAAAGATAGAATTCTTGAAAAGAGAAGGGTATCAGTATTTCAAGAAGGTATAAGGCTAATGTTAATGTGCAGATAAAGTTTTTCACGGTGGTATAACGAACGGATGAACACCGAGATTTATGGTACGAAGTACTTAATATTATTATATGGTCTTAAATGAATGCGTTACATCGCCTCATTTCAAAATTTGGAATTTTGGCACTATTTATATGTAGAGGTGCGGTAGGGCTAAGTATTTTAAAAAAAGTCCAAGAGAGATCCGCAAAATTCACTATTGCTATAGAATATTAGGTTAAAAATATATCTTTGAAATTGACCGCGTAAAGAAGTTTTAGAAATTCAATGGAATTTGGAAATCGGAAAGGGGATCGTTTCGAAAATATAACAGTAACGGGACATTGAAATGATGCTAAATATTATAATTCTGTATTGATTGAACTGTAGTGGAATTTCCTAATTGTTTTTGTCGTTACCGACAAAAGCCGGTATCTATTGAACACAACAACATTGTTTCTATCGATAGGTCTTAGCGTCTACTTTATATTCTGACGCTATCTTACCGACCTATTTCGTTAATTACCGAAATTATAATAAATTTTTAAATTGCTGTTATTATTTTAGTATTGGATTCGTTATTCGTGAGTATGTTGCAATCAGGAGTTAATTTTGGGAATTTTTACTTTATATTTGCAATACGAAAATTGATAACTATGTTCTGAATCCGCAGTATGATAGAATTCCAAAAGTCAACGCCGTTTTTATACTCTACACCTTACGGTGGTCAGGTATTATGTCTTTGTGCATTTGTTTGTAACAAGCAAAAGGAAACGAGATAGACCCATAGTTCCTTTTGATGATCTGCATAGAATCACATTCTGAGTCGATTTATGCATGTCCGTCCGTGAATCTGTCCGCCTGTTCGTGATTTGGATGTAGCTCCCATATATATCTTTATCCGATTTCAAGTTAATTTTGCACCAAATTGGGAATACAAGCTCGAATTGAAAAGATACACATACTTCGGCATATTTAGTCCTTTTAACTTTAAATTATAATCATAGCTTGTATGATTTAATTCTCTAATAAAAACTTTTAATTGATATGTGAAGCTCTACTAAATGTGCATAGTGGTGTAGGGTATCATAAAGTAGGCCAGCCCGACTTTAAGACCTTCTTTACTGTTTTTTTCTATGTTACCGACTTAACTTTTACTGTTGTGGGCCCCAAAGTTTTGAGACCTTTGGGACATTTTTTGTCTGAAATAAAGTCATAGTTATTGTCATACAACACAACAAATGTGAACAAATAAAATAAACTGAACGTCAAATTCAAGGTCAAAATTGTCTGACATTAAATATTTTAAAGTTTTTCTCAGTGTCTGATACAAATTTAAGCAAACTGCCAACTACTATAGTTTATCCGAGATCTCAATAAGCAACCTTCTAGGAAAAGTCCTTAAAAGTTAAAGTTGCAATAAAACTATAAAAGTCACTTTTTATCCGATCAGAAATACGATGAACACGATAATGGAACTAGTTGAACAAAAGACCAGAACCGCTAAAAATGGATGAAAATGTAGAGTTTGTGTACTTATTCTTTTACTATTTGACCATTGAGAACCCTTCCTAGAAAATGTATATATCCTTGAGAGTGGTTTATTGAGATATTACGTTTATTTCCAAGTTGGTCATTTATTATAATGTATATATTTAGACATGAACCGGAGAAAAATTTATAATAGCTGCCTTTTACTCATATGGCTTTGGAACTGACATTTTATTGATTTTATGTGTTCACACTTTCTTTTTCTGTATGAGAATAGCTATAACTTTGTCTCAGAGAGAAAATCAAAATTCTAAACTGTTTGCAAGATATGAGTCATGGATATCGAGGTCCCAAAGGTTGGGGCCTAATAGCGTTGATGATATAGAGAAAAGCGGCGAAACGCGTATCATGCCCCTCTCAGTTTTTTTTTTTCATATCGTTGTTTCGGAATGTGGTTAATAATTTTTTACTTAAAACAATACATACTGGGTAATAAATGGCAATATCTTTGGTGCCATCCGTTTTTGAGAACATAAAATCTTGATTTTCTTTTAAACTATTACTTGTATTGCTCGAGGAACTTAAAATTGAAGGACATTTCGAAAATTTGTAACCAAAAAGAGAAAACAAACACATAAATCAAAAAGATTTCAATCGTACCAAAATGAGTACTCATTTGAAATAGATGTTAATTCTTGAAAAATATAAACAATTAAAAAAGATTTTAATCTCTACAGGTCCAAACATTAAATACCCTCCACCATTTAAAATGAACTAGCAATATGTAAATAAAATCCGTTTAAAAATGTCACTGTAATTTTACAGTTGTTGAAGTTATACAAAAACCTGGACCTTTACTTCCAATTTTTTTCCAGAGAATATGGTTTCTTTTACGAACTCAAAACCAGTTTTATACAATTCCGGAGGAAAATGTAGCTAAAATCATCAAAATATCGAAAATTGGGAGGTACAATTACATGGGGGCTATACGAAGGCGTGGATCTGTTAAGGAAATCTTCTATCATAGGAAGTAGTACCTATTACGAACTCCAAATACTAAATTTTAAATAATTCCGGTGAAAAAGCCTTGAGCAATATAAATTATTCAATTATTTAGATATTTTCCAGAAACCGCAAGTATTTTATTGTTTCAATATTATTATTTTTTTTTTTATATCCGTTAGGCATGTTGATTTTTTAAAAAAAGTGAAATTAAAAATACGTTAAGTTCGGCTGAACTTATTATTAGCTCTTTGCTTATTTTATAAATCCCAAAAATGTGAATGTTCCATTATGCAGAGGAAGTAGAACTACCCAACGAAACGTCCAATTGTAGCTGTTTTGGTGTAGTATTGGGGAGGGGACCTTAAAGCGTCGACAATTGGGACCAAACCCTTTGAAATATCGAAAATCGGAACAAATATATAAATTTTATGGTGTCTAGGTGGTGTCTAGGTGTCGGAATGACAACTTAAACATTCCCATCATCTTATATGGGAGGCCATCATTTACCAAATGCCATGGTTTGCCCCAAGCAAGACTATTTTGAAACAAGAAAATAATAATAAACATTACTGAATGCTGCCTTTCCGACATTATACTATTCTCAACGGATATCTAAATTTATTCCGATATATTTCTAAAATATATATTTTTTTCTACATTTTAGGTAAAATGCATGAAATACAAATATAAAACTTACCTATCACATTACTACCGGAACTGACGACTGTCGCTCCGCCAGCTCCTATAACAATTGCCGGCGTAAGTATGCCGCCAATAGTTGTTGACCCGGTATTTGTACAGCTTGTGGGTGCATACGATTGAGCAGCTATGCCTAAAATATCGGGTGACTGGCGTGGTCCACACATTATTGTTGTATTGCTCATCATGCCGGGTACCATGGTGCCCGTGGTGTTAGTGTGCGTCAGCAAAGTACTCCCCGGTCCTAGTGTACCGTAAAGATTTGTGGTGGGCGCATAGCTAATGTAATTCTGAACACGAAGAAACAAATGTAGAGAAAAGTACCAAAAAATTCATGAAATTTATGGCAACCGCAAAGTCTACGAAACTAACATCGAACCGAAGAAATTTATGTCGGACAAACTCATAAAAGTACGACAAACAAAAGAAAACACAAACAACATAATGGAACACAAATAATAAAACCGACCGTATATATGCACATACATACGAACGCACGTAAAAGTATGACCACAGTTGGTTGACTGGTCACTTGCTTACCTCATTCTTTGACACACTTGGCACCGGAATTGGCGTTTGCAAATCGATGTCAGCATCTACTTCGGAAATGGTGTCGTTGAAACCGTTCGGTATTGTAGTCTCGGCGACTCCTTCAACACCCGCCATGCCCCCGGAGCAGGCCCCAGTGACCGGACCTCCTTTGCCCGACGACGTCGAATGAGTGTCAGTTGCACTATCATGGCGTTTGAGAACCACCAGCCTAACCGCAATCGCAACTATGCAGAGTATGACACCCAAAGAACCAGCAGTCAAAAGATAAACAAACAATCGTTCCTGGTCGTCTGCATATGGGCCCAGTAACCAGTGGTAAAAAGAAAGAGAACAGAAAACACACAAAAGACATGAAATAAATAGAACTAACACACAAACGCTCGCAAGTTCAAGACAAAATATGGCAAGAAATATGACCACAAACTTTTTTGTTTGTTTGTTTGTTTTTTTGGCTTTTTTGTTATGAGAATCTTTTTTGCTCAATACTCCTTCTGGGAACCCCAAGAGTTCAGATTTTATACCAAGCAATTGCTAAGCAAGAAAGGACAAAGCAATAAATCCTTTACTTAATTGCAATACCATTTGTTAAGTTCAGCCATGGCTGGTGGCAGGTTGCCACTCTGCACTGCTGTTCTTCTGTTCTGTTTTGTATTTGTACTTCTACAACAATAACAACACCACCACCACCACTATCCGTCCCATTCATTATTGAGGGACAGTAGCCGAGTTTAATTACCTTCCAGAGTCATGTCGGCACTGTGTGTCATTACGGGATTAACGCCACCCATATCACCCTCGAACATGCCCAGTGTGGCATTATTGGCTCTATTAACACTTGTCACTGCATTGTAGGTTCCATTCAGCGTTGTGCTGGCATTGTTGCGTGCCGCCGGAACTGTGGTGTTACTGTACAGCTTCGGAATTGCCTCCGACTCCTTGTAGAACAATTCATCATCGTACAAATCATTAACATCGCCCTCGAAGTCTTCTGGTTCATCTGCTTCAATTTCTGTTTCGTAGCGATCCATGAGCACTTGTTTCGGCACTGAAATGAAATACAAGAAATACAGTTGAAAATTTCCCAATGTCGTTTGTCACTCCGTCGCAATGGTGAGTGGCAGGCGGGCGGTCGGGTCTGCTTAATGCTCAAAGTTCAAAAGCTATGTTTGTTTGCTTGCATTCTAAGATATATATACACATAGGGAAAGATTTACGATTCCTCTCGAAACAATGAATCGCTTCGAAACTCACTTTTAAAAGACTTCATTCAAATGTGTTGGCAATTAAGCGTCACTTGAAAAACACTTGAGAGTTTTGCGTCTTGATGCGATTCTCCTCAAGTAGAAGAAGAAATCTAATTGACGAAGACCCCACTCTATTTTCCTAGAAATGTATTCATTAATTTTGTGAAATTATGTGGAAGTTTGAATGGCGTCAATGAATGTTGCTGCAAATAAGTATTTGTGTAAATAAGCATAGCTCTGTTAGTCCTCATAGTTTACTAAACTATTTATTTCGTCGTTCAAAAAGTGACAGCAAACTGAAATATTATAAATATTATTTATAGAATCACCGAAAAGTGTGATTGTCATAGTTTTGAGTGGGTGTTGATTTAAACTTTGGAGGAGATGCTCTGGTTTTAGACTCTATATTTAATAAGAAAACATTAATTTTTGTCCGCCCTCTGTAGAAATACAAAAAAAAAACTACAAAATATGCATAAATTGATAAGCCGATGCACCTAAAACGAGTCACTGTTTGCGGCGGATTTTGGTCCAAAGGGATAATTGGGCAATTTTCTTCGATAATGAGCAAGGAGTGACTGTTTCAATGGCGACATTTAACTATTATTTGTAGGGTGCCGTCAAAGATAAATGTTACACCAATAAGTCAATATTCATTGGTGAAATACAGCTGCATTGAATGATTGTACTACTGTACTGTAGCTAAAACCATCAAAATACCGAATATAGGGAGGTACAGTTATATCGGGGCTATACGAAGACCTGGACCTGTATATAAAAATTTCTGTCACTATCACAGGAACTTCTAAAACGAAATTTTAAACAATTCCGGTGAATAATGTCCCTAAAATCGGGGATATACGATATCGTGAACCGATATAGCCAATCTTCGAACTTGACCTGCCTGCAGACAAAAGACTTATCTGTGCAAAATTTAGCTTCCTATCTTAATTCGTTTTGACTCTAGCGTGATTACAACAGAAGGACGGACTGACAGGGCTAAATCGTCTTAGAATTTTATGCTCATCAAGAATATATATACTTTGTTTGGGTCTAAAATGATTATTTCGATGAATTACAAACGGAATGACGAACGGTAAATACCCTGCATACTATGTATAAAAACATCGAGACCTGCAGTTTCCTTCGACTTATTAATTGTACCTCTATTGAAGGAAATCACAAACGTTGTAAAAGATTTCCTTAATTCCCTTAAATATCTGTCTATTTGGAAGTATTAAAAGCAGGAGCTTCATTTATAACCGGGAGGTTGGTCTCTCGAAAGGCTTTATTGGAAAACTGACAGGCAATGGGTATTATTGCATATCTCTTGTTTTGGCATTTTTGGCGATGGAATGCCAAAAAAATAAATAAATAAATAGTGGTTCATTTTTCGCAGGATATGCATGTTACGAAAGCGGGTTGTTTCTATGGCTTCCAGTGAAAGTGATCACTTCAAAATGTATTGCATTTTTATCGAAAACTTTCGTTTTTCTTGCGTATTAAATATTTATGTTTCATGATTTTCACAATGAGAGACAATGTCAAGGAAGCGGCTGTGAAAATTGAAAACATATGAGTGCTCAAGGTAAACTGTTTAATTCTACCCTGAAAATAGGAAATTTGTAAAATTTGTTTATCGGGGGTTGTGTAAATAGTGTTTTAAAATTTTCTACAAAAACTAAAAATATATACCATACACAGAAGTTAAAAAATATCGGCTAGACCAAGAAAATTTTTGTATATGAAAAGTGTATGCCACTGCTTGTAAAATACCTTAAATGTCAGTGTGATTTATATCCGCACTTAAAGTAGAATTTGCTAACTGCAATCGTAAATGCTTACAAATCAACCTACAAAACCTATGACTTCCTTAATTATTCGGTAATGAGGAAGTTAAGCTATTTTGTTTGTAAGTTTTAAAGGATAGTTCGTCGTAACTACTTACAAATCAACCTACAAACCCATGACTTCATTCATTACTCGGCATTGAGGAATGTAAGATATATTGCTTTGAAAATTTTAAAGGATTGTTTCATTATTTTTTGAATCCCAAGTTTTTGCTAAATACAGGCAAAATAAAATGCTTAATTACGAAATCTGAGTTTGTTTACATTAGGCGTTTGTATAAATCAATATTAGATAAAAGAGTATAAATTTTTAAGTTTTCCTAATGGATTTATCAATAAAATCTGTAGTGTAGTTTGAGAAATTAAGTTTTTCATTGAAAAGATCATACTGCCGGATTTCGATAAGGAACCAAGTTAGCTATAAAGAAATCGTAAATAAACGGTGGGCCAAGGAAAGCTGGTCCGTTCGGCAGGTTAATCATAAAATACTAATACTACTTAGTATTGTATATTGGTGTTTGAGAATGCGAATGGTTATTAAGCATATGAAAACATATGGAAAGCGGAAAGATCGAAACTCAAGCTTTGAAATATAAAATTATTTTAAAATATAAATTTTAAGACCAAATTGAAAGTTACAGCAAATTTAATTGAGTGGAAAAATTGTACATTTTGTAAATTTCAAAATTAAGCAACATAATTTGCCACGCAATGTAATGTAATTAGTATCATGGGAACATACAATATGCAAACGGATTTGGCTATTTCCCATTCCACACAAGTAAACAAATATTATTGGAAATTACGCTCTGCCATTCTTGCAAGCATATTAATGTAAATGTTCTTTGGTCTTGATGCCAACAAAAATGAAAAATCCACATTCGTTTTAACCAATTTCTTAAACCATTTCTTATTGGCGCAATAAATCCCACCAATAAAACCATCTCCGCCTCTACCCTCCCAAATGAATTCACATCATCCTTAATGGGACTACCTTTATTTTAAATTCAAATGTTAGTTCATTTGTTGTTTGGGGCCGCCTCAGAGTTGTCTACGATTCGACTAACAGGCGTAAATCGTATTATCCGTGCGCCTCACATCAGACGGTATGACCTTTCAAGGTTATGCGTAATTGCTTTGTTCGGTTTTTGGGCCCATGCGATTTGCCCGGCACATTGGCAACAACTCTCGATGGTGTGCGTAGCGTTCAAGTATAATTGAACGTTGCTTCATAGCTCACGCACAAAATATGCACAAGCCTGTGTCTGTGGATGTGTGCGTGTGTTTTCATTTCGAATGGATTAAAGCGTGTACTGCAAGCAGGAAAAACATTTATACATCCAAACAAACACATGTATACATGTGTATCGCTTGTATTCTCTTGAACTCCTTTTTAGTTTCATTTGTGTTGGCGTACATGTTGGCTGAGCAATAAGCAAGCAGACCACGGACCAAGGACGACTTCATGATGTGTGGCATAAAGCGGTCCCAACTGGTGCTCGGTGGCACAAGTCACGATTTACTTACCACAAGTGTAAACAACTTTCAGATACATCCGTGAATTGGGTTGACATGGCGAACCGAATGTATTGGCATCTGCGGCCAGATTGCATCTACGACGTCCATGGCATATTTGCATAACGGTTTCGGTGGCATACGACGCCAAGCAAGCTGAACGGTTCGATCGATTCAGTAAATGCCAATGTTTGAACATCGGAAAAACAGAGTGTTAGAAAGAGCATAAAGAAACGAAAGACAAAAGGAAAAAAGAATTTTGAATTAATTAAATTGATCAATGGTTATGGCTGGTTTGCCGTGGGCTAACCACCCTTGTTTTTGTGTAAACTAACTGTAGCGAAACACACAATTCGTCATAGATAGGTGGAAGGTAATTAATTTTCCTGTACACTTTATAGTGAATTATTTTGTGTTCACAGTTTTTCAAGTGGGGTTCAAATAAAAAATAATGAAATGTATGGAACATGTTTTCTCTTTTGCTACAAAAACAAAACAAGAAATTTACATAAAATTGAAAAATTACGAAAAAATGTTAGATCGAAGACAAATATATTATTGTCGTATGACCTCTAAATGAAATATCATTCATTGGAAGTTAAATCGATAACGATTAACAACTCAGTTTAAAAAAATATATTTTACAATAACTTACTTTCTTCTCGAACGCCCTGTGGTTGGGGGCACTGAATGCTTTCATATTCCGTCCGTCCGAAACTTGCACTATAAACGGCAATTCGTGAATAAGGGTTACATTCCAGTTGGGCCACATCGTTATGGCAAGCCACCTTACTACGAAATTCATCTATAAATAGAAAAACAAATATTCATATAAAATATCATAGAGCTTGTTACAAAGGAGCATAAATATTATATTTTTGAAATAACGAATTTCATCTTTTATTATTAGAAAACACTTCCACTGAAAAGTATTTCTTTCAAAAAATAAATATAATTACAGTGCATATTTGCATTGAATAATTAATTTTTGAACAATGTTAGGGAGAAAGGAAGCGAGATAGACCCATAGTTACGATTGAGGATCTTCATAGAATCGCTTTCTGAGTCAATTTATGCATGTCAGTGCGTCTGTCCGGTCGCATTTATTATTCGATTGAGATAAAAATTTCCAAAAATTATTTGTTTAGCCCAGGGACGAACCCTATTGAAATTGGTAATGGTGCTGAGCGCTGTTGGTATGGTCAAGGTCTGCGGCCAAAATGTTTGCGTGCCCAAGGCTTAAATACATCCTCCAGAATATTTTCGCTATAACATTCGGCATTTATTCTGATGCCATGCTCGATTAATACGACCGGAGAGCGACCATCGGCTGTTATGACGGTCCACACCATCACCATGGCCGCCGCTTGAGTTCTGGTGGACAACCGAAGGTGCACATTTTCAGGTGACCTCTTTGGCAAGTAAACATGATCATTTTGTTTGTTTACAAACTGCTGGACAACAAATGTTTTCTCATCGGAGAAACACAAATTCGGCAGTTCACCACTTTCGGCCAAGCGAAGCAACTATTTATCTCTTTTGAGTCTATTTTCTTTCTGTTGTGGTGTAAGTTCTTGCACTTTTTATACCCTCCACCAAAAAAAGTATGGAGGGTATATTAAGTTCGTCATTCCGTTTGTAACTCATCGAAATAATCATTTTAGACCCAACAAAGTATATATATTCTTGATCAGCGTAAAATTCTAAGACGATTTAGCCCTGACCCTCCGTCTGTCCGTCTGTTGTAATCACGCTACAGTCTAATCGAATAAAGATAGGAAGCTAAAATTTTGCACAGATCTCTCTTTTGTCTGCATGCAGGTCAAGTTCGAAGATGGGCTATATCGGTCCACGATATCGTATAGCCCCCATATAACGGTACCCACGATATTCGGTATTTTGATGATGTTAGCCAAATTTTTCAATGAAATTGTCTGAAAATCCACACAAGTAGTTCCTTGTGGGTACTTTATACCTCGGCAGAGAATTATCTATATAGGTCCACAATATCGTATAGCCCCTATATAACGGTACCCCCACGGTATTCGGTATTTTGATGATTTTAGCCACATTTTTCAATGGAATTGTCTGAAATTCCACGAAAGGAGTCCCTTGTGGGCATTTTACCCCCTCAAAAGAATTCTCTATATAGGTCCACAATATCGTATAGCCCCCATATAACTGTACCCCCCGATATTCGGTATTTTGATGATGTTAACCACATTTTTCAATGGAATTGTCTTAAAATCCGCACAAGTAGTTCCTTGTGAGTACTTTACCCCCTGAAAGAGAATTGTCTATATAGGTCCACAATATCGTATATCCTCCATATAACGGTGCTCCCCTTTATTCGGTATTTTGATGTTTTTAGCCATTTTTTTCAACGGAATGGTCACAAGGGGTTCTTTGTACACAAGGGGTTCTTTGTGAGCACTTTACCCCCCGACAGAGAATTCTCTATATAGGTTAACGATAACGTATAACGGTACCCCCGATATTCGGTATTTTGATGATTTAAGCCACATTTTCCAATCGCATTGTCTGAAAATCCACACACGGAGTTCTTTGTGAGCACTTTACCCCTGAAACGGAATTGTCTATATAGGTCCACAATATCGTATATCCCCCATATAACGGTGCTCCCCTTTATTCGGGATTTTGATGATTTTAGCCACTTTTTCCAATGGAATTATCTGAAAATCCACACAAGGAGTTCCTTGTGAGTTCTTTACACGCAGACATAGATTTGTTTTTATAGGTCCACAATATCGTATATCCCCCCATATATCGGCACCTTCCTATATTAGATATTTTAAAGATTTTAAAAGAATTTTTAATGGATTTTATTTTTTCGAAAATTTTCTAATTCGTTCCAAATGGTGGAGGGTAGTAAAGTTCGGCCCGGCCGAACTTACTGCTTTTTTACTTGTTGCAATTTCAATGGCAGGTTTCGATCAAGTCGCTTCTTTACTTTCCGAACCATTCCTGCTGAAGTTGCTGTTTGTTTTCGTCCACTTCCTTGACATCCGGCTACGCTACATGTATCACAGTAATCAGCGATGGTACGAGACATAAAAGATTTATTCATATTTAAATGCTGGAGTGCTCTAACGATAGCCACTTGTGGGTTTCCAGCCAAATATAAAGAAATCACACTATCACGCTTGAAATCCATCACGAATAACTTTTTTCTGGAAAATTCTCACCAAAATGTTTTTGTACGCTTTTAAACAATAAAATGAGCTGTCACTGGAATAATTTTAACAGCTGTCGGACGAGTGTTACAGTTTTTTCATCTCACCCTTTATCTTCAACCGATCTCGGGTTAATTGTGCACCAAATGGCCAATATAAATCCTAATGACCTGAATATTGGTACAGCCCACCGAATTCAGTCTATAAGCAAATACATCAAATTTGGTGAAAATCGGTTCAGATATAGCTATAGCTCCCATATTTATTTTTTATCAGATTTGAAATTTAAGTCCTTCACATTCGTAATATGCACTCCATAAAACTAATATTTGGTACCACATATCTGATATGTCTATCGATAAACTTCGTAAGGACCTTTAAACATTTGCTGTAAAAACCAGCGAACGAGTTAAAGATTTTTTTCAATTCGTTTTTCTTTTCTGTCAATTTTATATAATGTACGATTATTTTTTAATTGGCATCAACTCCGGAACCTACATCGTGCTTCAACTGGAAGATGCGAATTTAAACAAACAAAAATGACCACAAAACGTTACGTTAAACCATCCTTGCAAAAACTGATCACGCTTTGGTATAACCATCATATAGTTTAAGCTATTTTCGGGGTCTTGGCCACCTTTTTCATTTTTTATCCCTTATTTGCCATCTTTGTTTCTAAGGGCATAGAATTCCTCTTCGCATACAATTTTTAATTTTCGGAGTAGGGCCTATCATGGTCTTCCACATTCATCAATTGATTTGGCTAAAAGATTGTATTTAAGCTATTCTGGGATAGAGAACCATCTTACAGGTAATTGTCCACATAGGCATTTATTTAAGTCCCCACATAAGTGTACCCCAAGTTCACTTTCCTAAATTTTGTATTCTATTGAAATTGTAACCCTCAAGAGAATATTGGTTAGGAACGTAGATTTTGGGATGTACGTCTATATGAAATAAACGCCGAAATGTCAAACTGGGACTCATTCAGTCGGAAATTGTGGCAGAAACCTGAATAAAAAAATAAGAATATAAGAAAGTAACACGGGATCGAACATTTGTTTGAATTATACTATGATGAAAAATATGGTTCTCCAACGCACAATTTATTATTATCTTTGACTATTCTGAAATCATTCATGGAAAAAAAAAAACTTAGCACAACATTCTAAAAGTTGGAAATACAAATTCCAAATTACAGCTAATTTAAATGGAAAATGTTGCTAAGCTCTTTACAAATTTTACAAGTTTTCACATGCGGCTATTATGGGTTATTAAAACTTAAATTAAATTTTGACGAAAAGTCAGATCTGTTATTTTATGTGTTTCAAAAAATATGCATTATAGACTAAAGGTACGGACCGACAACGCGGTCAGGGCCAGCTAGTATTTTAATAATTTAATTTAATTTAAAAAAAAAAAAAATACCAAAACATCAAACTTCAAATTCAAAATTAAAAAACAGAATCAACAATGGTAAAATATTGCTAAAATCATCATGTACTTAAACCGAATTTAAAACAATACCGGTAGAAAATGTGGCTTAAATCATCACAACATGATCGGCTATACCCAACCAAAAGTAGTGCTATATATATGATATTCTGTCATATCCATACAGTTATATGGAGGATGTACGAAAATGTGTGGACCGTTTATTGTACGGTCTAACATGAAGTTACAAATGAAATGACAAACTCATTATACATACTTTGGTATGAAGGAGGGTATAAAAAATAGGACCATTAGGCACTTTTTTTTGCAGAAAAGTATCTATATTCAAACGTGTTCCACTTTAAACTGCACAAATACCAGTGAGTAAAGTTAGAGTTTTCAAAACACAATAAAGCGGGTGGAACTATTATAGGGGGTCATACCAAAACAGGAATCTATATAAACAAGGATTGTTGCAGAATCATTAATATACCGAATATCGATGGTTATCGGTAAAGCGTGGACCAATTTGAACAATGTTTTGATACCGGCTGTAGAACCCATTATGAAGTACAAAACCGAATTTTAATCTGGAGGTACCGTTATATGGTTGCTAGAGGAAAACTTGAGCCTATATGTGTAACGTTCTGCCACCGGAGATGGAACTCATTATGTACTACAAATTCAACATTTTTGTTAAATCCATTAGAAAATGTAGCTTATATAGTCCAATATACCTCACTTGATTAGTATCATCCTAGACAAAATCTATTGTGTCAATTTTCAAATCTCTACGTCAATAATGTAGTCTATGTTGTGATTTCAACAGGCAGACAGACGGATATTGTTTAATCGACTTAGAATGTTATGCCCATCATGAATATATATACTTTATGGGGTCTCCGATGAACAATTACGGGTCTTAAAAACTGAATCATAAATTTAATACAGCTTCCTTTCCAAGATAAAATTCTGTATTTAATTGAAATGATAGACACCACCAAATAAATAAATAGGACGGGTGTTACTGGAGTCTACAAATTGGTCAATTAAATATCCAATATTAAAATCAATTAATGCCCGTTTCTTATTAATGTATACTTTTCGCTTACAAAAAGCGGGTGCTTGTATATTTTAAAATAGTGTGCTTTAAAATTATTATAAAATCAATTTCAGTTAACCGTCTATATATATATATACAGCACTGGTAACATATTTTTTGAAAAATAATTGCTATTAAAAAGTCTTTAAATAAGACATTAACTCAAATAATATTATAAGTCTTATAAATGAAAACTTTTGTTGGGTACTTTTTTTGGCATTTGGCCATCAAAGCAAACTCCCATATTTACCGACTGACCCCCATAATTCATCTGTTGTAGGAAATACTCACAACGAGTGTGCATGTATATGTGTGTGTGCGTTAAACTTTTAAATAAAATCCTCTGGCGCTCGTTTAGATGCATAAATTGTGATAATCACTTTTCATCGTTACTTTTAACTAACTATTAGACACACATGTGCTTATGTGTGTGTGTATGCAAATACATATAGAAACGGGCAAGAGCTAATCTGGTGAACTTGTGTTGAGATATGGGAATTGTCCATTATAATCCAACAGTTTCATTTTAATTACATTGCTGCTGATGAAAGGAACCTGCCCTTGGGAAAGAATTTGTTTTTTATTCTTTATTTACATGAAACTTTACTTAAATCACTAAAAAAGGCGATAAAAATTATTTTGGTGAACAAAAAGCGTTTTTGGGTTTACACACAATTTTCTAAAATATTGCGAAAGAAAAATCACTATATTGGGAATGAAGCGCTCCGACGTTGTATACGCTCCATAGTATGGAAAAGGGAACAGTAAATTAATCTAAATATAAAATGCGAACTACTAACATTTTATAACTTTACCTGATTTTTATGCTCCCAAGAAAAATTTTTGGCCAACCGAGAGTGACGTAACTTGTTAACTTGCCTAGCAGTTTATGAAATTTAAGGAAAGTTCATTTATTGGGTACTGAAGAAATAATATGAAAATGCTGATTTTGCCAATAAAAATCATCTTTAGTGGCGAGGCTCATTTTCATCTTGATGGTTTCGTCGATACACAGAATTGTCGCATTTGGAGTGTGAAAAATCGTAGAGTGCATCCTCAATGTGTCACTCTGTGGTGAAGTATTGGGCTGAAGGAATCATTGAACCTTTTTTATGAAAATGTAGCAGCTCAAGGGCAAACAGTATCGTGAAATGATAGTCAGGTTTTTCTTGATTGGAATTGAAGAATTTAATGTGGAGGGCATCAGTTGTTCCCAGTTTTGTCTTTTAGTTGAGACACCCTATCTTTTAAAATTTTTGATCATGCTATCAAAATTCAAATAGAATAAAGTCTGCCAAGTTTGGATCAATCGATTCATACGTAGCTATAGCTTCCACATATATGTTCCACTAGATTTTTATATGAGCCTTCTTAAAGTCACATGCACTCTATAGCAATAATATTTGTTTCAAGAGTTTACATACAATAGAAAAACTACATCCGTCTAAATTAGTGGAAATCGATTTACCTATATCAATTAAATAAAATCCACTTAGTTAAGTTTACTTTAACAATTTTGTGCACAACAAATTTGAAAATGGGGGAAAAAAATATATATAGGAGTTGAAGGGATATGGATAAAATTGAGCAAAGGTATTTCTGAGCTAACTTGATATCTTTTCCGAATATCGTGGTTGCGGAGTGCATATTACGACCGTAGCGGACAAAAATAACAAATTAGATGAACAATATATGGGGTGAGATGAAAAAACTGCAACCAAATTTAGACTGCTGTCATTTCCTGTCTTCCGACAGCTGTTCAAATTATTTCAGTGACAGCTCATTATATTGTTTACAAGCGTACAAAAGCATTTTGGTGAAAATTTTCCAGAAAAAAAGTTATTCGTGATGGAAATCAACCGTGATAGTGCGATTTCTCTGGCTGGAAAAACAAGTGGCTATCGTTAGAGCACTCCATTGTTTAAGTGTGAATAAATCTTTTGTGTTTCGTACCATCGTACCATGTCTCATGGTCGGAAGAAAACAGCAACATCAGCAAAAATGGTTCGAAAAGTAAAGAAGCGACTTGATCGAAACCCGCGTCCCAGTGGCCGAAAAATGGCTCGTGATCTGAACATATCGCAATATTCCATTCCGCAAATACTGAAAATGAGCTCGTGTGAAATTCCAAAAAGTGCAAGAACTTACACCGCAACAGAAAGAAAATAGACTCAAAAGAGCTAAAGAGTTTCTTCGCTTGGACGAAAGTGCTGAACTCTGAATTTGGGTTCCTCCGATGAGAAAACATTCGTTGTCCAGTAGTTTGTTAACAAACAAGATGATCGTGTTTACTTGCCAAAGAGGTCAGCTGAAAATGTGCACATTCGGTTGGCCACCAGAACTCAAGCGCCGGCCATGGTGATGGTGTGGGCCGCCATAAAAACCGATGGTCGCTCTTCGCTCTTCGTTAGAATAAATGCCAAGGCCTTGGTCACGCAAACATTTTTGCCGCAGACCTTGGACATTCCAACAGGACTCAGCACCATCGCACTCAGCACGCACCACCCAAGAATGGTTACAAAATAAGATTCCTCGCTTAACTTCCAGCGCACAATGGCCACCAAAATCTCAAGATACCAATCCGGAGATTTTGGTGGCCATTGTGAATATTTTGGAAAGCAGGGTTGGCACTAAAAATATTAAATTGTCTATCTCCTCAAGCAAGCACTTCGCCGGGAATTGACTAAAATACCTCAGAGAAATATGCGGGCGGCGTGTGACTGTTTCATAGACCTTTGAAGGCCATAGTTCGTGCCAAAGATGACCAATTCGAACAAATCTAAATTTATTCTTAAATTTGATGTTATTTTTGACATTATTTGCTTTCATTCAATAAATTGAAAAAAATAACAATTATGGCGTTTGACTTGATAAATTTGACATACTTCTTTCCAGGCTTAATGTCGCAAATGCTATCCGATTTGGTCAAGTATTACACATTTAGGGTACAATAAAAGACAAATCGGACGAAGATATATACAATTATATAACAAACTCTTAGTACTTTGATCAAGAAGCTTGCATCAGAACCCAAAACAAAACATATGATTATATGATGATCATCAAATGGAATTATGTGTCTTTATCTCTCTCTAGCGAATAAAAAGGAATTGCTTTTTAAAATACCTCATATAAAATCGACTACTTTTAGATCAGTAAGCTGTATTTATGCACCAATTGTTCATTCAGTTTTTATCTTAAAGCGCTTGCTTTTAACTTTTCCATTATAAACTTAAAATATACATCGGGCCAAAAGGATTTTAAAAAACTTCTATGTTTTCTCAACTCCATAGATTACACATTTAGGTGCTAAGGGAACAAATAACAATGTTCCTTAATAAATTGTTAATGTTGTTGCCGTTTGTGTTCTTCAGAGTAGTTGCACAAAAGAATATTTTATAAAGCACTCTATTATGTTTGTTATAATTGTTGTTGTTGCTGCTACAGCTACAGCTGCCACACAATACAGCTATTGCCAGCGTGAAGTTTCCTCGTAGCCGTGTCGATGTGTGTTTAGTGGCAACACTAGTTGAGTATAAAATTAAGTTGATATTTTGTTTAGTAAAACTTTTTATGAGTCTTGCTGTTCCAATGGCACTTTAAAATGGTTATAATATTGTTATAGTTACATGAGGCAAGTAGTATGCATGTGTGTGTGTGTGTGGGAAATCTTTTGGTTGGGTTGCAACGTTCGTGTATGCTTTTGTTGTATAAGAAGCAAAACGAATGAATGGAACATAATAAATTCTTCAAACTAGCCTAGTTGGGGTGTTTGTGTGTTGGAGTGTGCATGTTGGTGTACTTACATGGACGGCATTTGTATGCGATTTCCACAATTTTCCTTCTCTTCGGACAGGGATCCATGCTGATGATGTTCGTGCTGACTGTCGTACTGTGATATGTGCTGGAGGAGCCACTACTCTCGCCGACGCCACTGGCGCCCAGCCCATAGAACTGTGGCCGAGCATTGAATTTGCAATGCTTCTTCTTCTGGCATGCTTCGACAACGGTCTGCAGCAACGAATACTTTGATTGTGGCGAAGAGTGTGTTATGAAACGATAAAAATTAAAAGAACAACAATTAATGTTAAGAGCCATGGTCTCTTGTTTCTCGTCGAATGCCGGCTGTGCGATGCAAGTCATAGAATTCGTATGACAATCGTCAGTCAGTCAGTCAGTCAGCTTGGTTGTGCGGTAGTAACGTTCGAACATCTGTACGTATATGTATATATGTGTGTGTGTCCTTGGGAAAACTGTTGACAGTATCTTTGCTTTTGCCCTGTTTCGAATGTAAACACATGCTCGGACACATTACATATTCATGGTGGTAGTAATGTTTGTTTAAACGCAAATGAATACAACAACTTCAAAAACTTTCATGTATGTTCAGTACGTATACGTCTGCATGCATGTGAGTGTGTATGAGTGCGATTGTGTTTTTTATTTGCAAATCGAGACAATATTCACATGTGTGGTCCGATTGTTTGTTTGGCCGTGTGTTTTTTATTGTTTTACCCAGATCCACACACCCACCCGCCCCAATTCATATTTAACCATATGAAAGTGTATTTATTGTTGGCAAAGTTATTCAGTGCACACTCATACAGGCTGACGCAAATGTCATAGTTTTTTTTATAGGCTCTCTGTTTGTGAATATAATTCAATTTAAATACATTTTAAAGTTAAATTTTATTAACTGACAGCCGATTTAAATGCTCGCCACTTGTCAAACAAATACATTCAGCGAGGGTACGGGAGAGCACAAAAGTGACCTAATTAATAAAGCAAAAAAAAGCCAATGGGAAATAAATATTCATTGCATCTTGCTAGTTTTAATTATATAGTTTTCAAAGAAATTTAAATGGGGCTGAACAAAATTTGTTTTTAAGAAAGCTATGCAGTTTATTATATATTAATAACATACTTCGAATTTAAGTTTTAATAAGAACTACATGGTATATTTATATACACATAATTACAAGCCGCAATATGTATTATTACAGCACGTATTGCTCCGCCTACTATTTTTCAAAACATTAAGTAATAAAATACCTTTGAAAGGGAATAAGCTAGTTTATGTTGTGAAAAAAAAAATCATTAAACTTAACAGTATGGGTATTAAATATTCGAATCATCCCTCAAAATACCATAGGTACGGTTATATGAGGACTATACGAAACGTGAATCCATAATAATTTTTTGCCAAACGGTTTTAATCTATTGCGAGTTTTAAATTCCAATTTGCGTCGAAAAAATGCCGAATATCTTAAGGTACCGTTATTAGGGGCTAAAGGAAAACGTGGAGCTATATATACATTGTACCATCTGGGAGTATGGTATCAACTAATAACGTTAAATACCAACTCTCAAAACACTTTGTTAGAAAATGTGACTAAAATAACAAAAAGTAATAAAAACAATACCCTCCACCATTGGGCAACGACGACATTTTTATATAAAAGTTTCTGAATTCAAATGAGTTCCACTTTAAACTACAAATACCACTGACACCCTTTTGGATAATGCTGTTAAACTTTTCAAAACAACGATGAGGCCGTTATATGGGGGTCATACCAAAACGGAGACCTATATAGCAAATGCATCTGCAAACTTAAAAAAAAAAACTTTAAAGCTGCAGAAGCTTGTTATATATAATTCTTAAAAAAAAACTATTCTTACTATTGAGAAAATGAAATGAACTAGTTAAAAGCAGTAAGTTCGTCCGGTCCGAACTTTGAGTACCATCCACCACTTGGAACGAACTATGACATTTTTAAAAAATAAAATCCGTTAAAAAATCTGTTTAAATCTTAAAAATACCGAATACAGCCGTTATATTGGGGTCTATATGACGTGAACCTACATAGGCTTTGTTTGTCATAAGCAATTACCATATTCAAATTCGAAACTTGAAATAAACGGTGAATAATGTAGCCAAAATCATCAAAATACCGTATATAGGGAAGTACCCGAGCTATACGAAGACCTGGACTTGCATAGACAATTTTCCATCACAGGCTGTAGCTTCCACAACGAACTTCAAATACGACATCTCACCCAATTTCGGTGAGTATTGTACCTAAAATCGCGAAAATGCCGAATATAGGGAGGGCCGATGCGAAGACCTGCACCTGCATAGACAATTTTCGGTCACAGACTATCACAGACTATAGTTCCCAGCCTATGACAATTTTCTGTCATGGGCTGTAGTATTTATTACGAACTTCAAATATCAAATTTTAAATAATTCCGGTGAATAATATCGCTAAAATCATCAAAATACCGAATATCGGGAAATACCGTTATTTGGGAGCTATATTCCGGTGAATAATATCGCTAAAATCGTAAAAATACCGAATATAGGGGGTACCGTTATATGAGGGGCTATATGAAAACGAACTTAAGCTGCCTACAGGCAAAATGAACATGTCTGCAAAATTTTAGTCTTCTAAATTAATTCGACGATATATTCTGATCAAGAATATATATACTTTGTTGGGTCTGACATGAGTGTTTCGAGGAGTTACAAACGGAATGACAATGTTAATATAACCTCCATAGTATGGTGGATGGTATACAATTGGTTTCACATTATGTGTGAATATTTCGATATCTCGAGATACAAATCGTTAAACTTTAAAGTTCTATGTTGTTTTTAACCTGTGTCTTTTTATATCCTACACCACAAGGTGGTCAGCGTATTATGTATTTGTGTATTTGTTTGTAACAGGCAAAAGGAAACGAGATAGACCCATAGTTCCTTTTGATTTTATTTTGTATGGAAAATTATGGCCAATTGAACAATTTTCAGCAAATAAATGGCTCAGCAATCCTTTAACTCAAGCTGTTAATTGGTATGAAATTAACCGTAGACAATATTCAGAATATTTTTCATTACATTACGTTACATTGGTTATCCAAAATACGAATTTACAAAATTAAATTGCAATTCACTTAAAATTCAGTAAAGTCATTTACAATATACACGCTAACAGGGACCGTAAAATTGAACAGAATCTCAATATATTCTATCGTTGCTGAGGGCTTTTGGGGCTTTGTAAAGTTGTAGCTATGTATATCATGAGATCAACGACGTTCACACACATTGTTTTTGAATTTGAAACCCCGAATAATTTCCCTTACAAGCCAACTCTTTGCCTGTGCAGGACGTATGACCAGAAATAGGTTGATGTAACACATCACGAATTGAAAATCGCAAACCACACAACATGGACATCGAAAACATGCCAGGTTTGTAAACTGAATTAAATCATATTTTTATGCTGATGGATTGCGTTTTGCTCACGGTTAGGTATTCCAATTTAATAAATCGAAACATAAAATAATTATAACACTGATGCACACCAACCTCCGGCACCAAATAAAATTCTATGTTGTAAATAGTTTTAAAAATTACTCGTGTTTATTGAATTTCGAATCAAATTATGATATAATTAAATATTCTAACATGTACTGACAAAACCTCATTCAATGAGGATAGATTGTTACGGTTGCTGTGCATATTTGCCAGCTTTTAGAAAGGAGTAAGTTGGGTAAAATCGGTATTTTAGATACTGTTGGCACAAACATTTTCAGTTTAATAATTATTAAAACTCAGCACCCAACATAAAAATCTAATTATTATTGTATCCAACTCAAATATCGCTAAACTAACTAACGAAGCCACTAAAAACGCTGATATGTTTTGGGAATATTTTTTGTGGTTTTAATATTTTTGAGACTTTTTTAAGCGATTGGAATGTGTCGATTTTTGTGCTAATAAATTTCATGCCTACGAAGTTTGAACTTATCAGTCTGTTAGCCGACATATATATGACATCAGCATACGGTTGCTGGCATTGCTAAGTGCACAGTTTTCACTAAATCGTGGTGCCCTCTTAATTTATATGTAGCTTATAAATTTTAAAATATTGATCTCTGTCATATTCAAACTGTATGTAATATGAGTTGAAATATTGAGATTACGTAAGTTATACGGGGAATATCGGGAAATATGTTTGTGTTTTATGCCCTTCACCCTCAAAGGAGGGTATAGTATAAGTTCATTTAACGATGTCCGTCTGGCTGTTGAAATCACCATACAGTCCATATTATTTGAAGTAGAGCTTCAAAATTTGCATTGTGTCTAGGATGGTTGGTATAGAAAATGATATATATCGTCCACGTTTTCGAATAGCCCCCATAAAACGGTACCTCCCAATATTAAGTATATTGATGATTTTCACCACATTTTTTTACGGTTTTGTCTAAAAAATTGTATTTTTAGTTCGTAATGGCCGATGGCGGAACACTGTATACTTATGACCACGTCTTCGTATAGCCCCATATTAAGTAATACCCGCTATTAGGTATTTTGAGGATTTTTGCGACATTTTTGCATGGATTTGTCTAAAAATTGGTATTTATAGTTCGTAATGGGTTCTATAAATTTGTCTCTGTAGTTTATAATGGGTTCTGGTTCCGGAGGCAGAACATTGAATATCTAGGTCCACGTTTTCCTATAGCGCACATACAACGGCACCCACCGATATTCGGTATTTAGATCATTCTAAACACATTTACCCACGAAATTGTTTCAAGTTTTGTATTTAAGACTCGCTATAAATAATAATCCTTGTAGTATAAAATTGCCTATATAGATTCCCGTTTTGGTATGGCAGCCATATGACGGCTTCAGCCACTTTATTTATTTTTTCAAAAGTTTAATTCCATTATCCAAACGGTCTTACTGGTATTTGTAGTTTGAAGTGGAATACCTTGAATCCAGATACTTTTATATAAAATGTTGCTTTGCTTTTATATAAAATGTTGCTTTTGGTGAGGTATTACAAGTTAGGCCCGGCCGTATTATGTCTTTGTGCATTTGTTTGTAACAGGCAAACGGAAACGAGATAAACCCATAGTTCCTTTTGATGATCTGCATAGAATCACATTCTGAGTCGATTTATGCATGTCCGTCCGTCCGTCTGTCCATGTATTTTTGTAAACAAAGTACAGTTCGCAAT